ACCAGGGCATCCACGTAACACAAAAAGAGTCCCTTCAAGATTACTTCATGAGAATTCCTGAAACCAGAATAAAAGCCCAGTGACAATAAAACCCTGTGTGACTAAAACTACTGTAAAATACTTATACCACATTTTATCATTTCAAAATTTGTTCTCTTTGTTAAGGTATTCTTGACTCCTATCTTGTATAATAGCAGCGCACAAAAGACTTGTAAAATGGTTTGCAGTGATAATTTATTGACATTATTTTAACATTTATTTAAAAAAATAAGTCAGAATTACCTTGAGATTCTTCTACAATGAGCTGTAGGTATTTCTTCTTTAGGCCCAGCAACAACCCTGAATATAAAATTATTTAACTAATCTAGGTACATTGTGTTTTCAATGTAAAATGTGACAATTCCTTCTCTCCTCTCTTTGTTTTATATGTAGTATTAAATATCCCTGGTGCTCATGTTAGCCTACTTAAAGCTTTAGCCACCTTCATGTAGATGAGAGAACGTGATTCTACTGCTTCATTATCCACGCCAACCCCCCGCCAGCGCTGTGGCTCGCTTGTTGCTGTCCCATTGTATCACATTCAGAAACTTAATTCCAACCATCCCCCCCACACAAGTACCTCCCTACCCCTCTTTTTGAACCAGAAACATCATTTTATTAACATGCAACAGAAAATTAATTTTAAAATAAATAAATAACAGGGGATGCCACAGAGCAAATGCAATTTCTTTTTCAAACTCTTATTCTATTCCATTGCAGTGCTAACATTTATATGAACATTCAAACTGCCAGGAACTTTTGACAAGATTTTAAAAATGATTTCTATTAAAGCTGCTGTAGCAATTTTAGCATGTCTCCTAAATGCAGAGACACATGAGTTTGGATTTGAAACAAATGTTCGTGGGAACTGACGTGTGATTAAAACATAGGTCAATGTCAAGCTTAACTCAGAGGAAGCCTCTTCTAAAAGGGGAGGCAGTACTTGCTGTAAAAAAAACTAATCACTTTTATTTACTGTGACATAGAACAAAAGGTGACATAGCTGAGAATTTTCCTTTCTTTATTTCCTCTTTCATTTTGAGCAGATGTGATTACACTCACTTGACGTTTTCTTTCTTTTTTTTCAGGTAAATCCTTTGGCTTTATTTTCACAGAGTGAAATATTTAACCATTCAATCTTTCAACAGTAATTTGGGATTTGTTGCCCCCCAACCCATCCATGTCATCCAGTAAATCACACACACACACACACACACACACACAAACACACCACTTCTTCTTGGCTATGGGACATCAATCTAGCCAGCACCGTCTGCTAAGCCTCACTGGGCAATTAACCACATTGAGAGTGAAAGCTCTAATCAGTCCCTGGCCTTCTGCATCACACACATATGGACACACACAAACACACACATATTCTTAAATCCATTGGTGTAAATGTCTCAGCTATTTACACAAGTGCTGAGAACTCCAAACAGCACTACTGAAACCTGTTCCTTCTAGGACACACACAAAAACAATGAGACAAACACACTCTTGGCCTCTTGTGCTTGTACTTACATAAAAAACAAACCCCTGATTAAATGCATGCCTGCTATATTACCATCAGTGTACATGTCATTAAAACACTGGAGTTTGCTATAGTTACAGGTTTACAGTTGTTCCCTGACTCTTTTAATCTGTGTTTGTAAATAGGTTAAAAATGTCTCTAGGACCATGAAACCTGCGGTGCCCCATAGACCAACGGTTACAGTGTGTGTGCGAAGCCTGCAGTGCAAGTCTGGCTGCCAACCTATGTCACAGGTCTGCTCCTATGTCTCCCCTCTTTCCTGTCTGCCTCACTACAACCCACTTACCTTGTAAAAATAACAAAATAAAGGCATATACCTGAAAAAAATAAATAAATAAAAAGACTGAAACCTTTTTTGCCTGTATATGGCGTGTGCTAAGTGTGAAGCGTGATGATGGCTGCTGTGAAATTCAGACATCCCTCCACAGTTTGCCTCATTGATTCATGTGGGTCTAAATGTCAGTACCAGCCACACACAAGACCCTGGTAAACCCCCTTAAACCCCCTGAGAGTGCACAGTGATGGGGGCTAAAGGAAGTGTTTTCCACAGTCTCATCTCAAAAGCCTGCCCCACCCTCACACTGTCAGAAGGCAAGACATCATTGACTAGAGGACTAAAAGAATAGGTTCATATAAACACTCTGTAATTATACATATTATATTATATTCCCACTAGAAAATAAAGGATTAGGATTCTTTTTTTTCCACACAGTAAATGTGAATATGATCAGCTTTTAATAAAATCATATACCATTACACCTCCTCTAAACTGTCACACTCATACCACCCATGCGGTATCATTTATAGATTTCTACTGATCTTCAGCATTTCTGTTTATATTTTTCAGGCATTATAAAGGGTGGCTACATAAATATCATGCCATCTACAAGCCTCACTTAGACTTACTGACCCATAAGCTATTGATTTCGTGTCTTTGTTCATTCATTCATGGCTAAGTTCAGTGCTTTGATCATTTGGCACCTTTTGCTAAATCTCTGCATCAAGCGCAGCAGAGAAATCAATAGCTCTTCCTCGTTATATGAATGATAATGAAATCGGTAATATTGTGGAGATGCTGGTGATTGCTTAAAGTTCTACTTTTCAGTGAGATGCTGAAGCTGCTTTAAACAACTGGCATCCTCCCACAGTGCAAAAACATGCAGGTAATGTGAATTTTACACTTGAAATTACCTGTGGATGTGACTGTGTGTGGTCAATCTAAGGTGGAGCCAGTCCAGGTTCTGCTGCAGTGCTAAGCAGTCTCAGATTAATGGTGAAGCAGGAAGAAGCACCCTCATATGACAGTGTAGTAAACTTTTGAAGTCTCAAACAAGACCATAGTGAAATCACATTCAGTGCCCTCAACTCTGCAGGATTATCTTTCCTGGTGATGCTGAATTAGGAGTAACACTGAAGTAATGCCACCTGTTAAAATAACCCAAACCCAGCCAATAGATCACCTGATTCACCGTGGCATATGCTGGAACTCAGGCAGTATGTTAGCAGTATAACATTTGCTAATAAACACAAAACACAGATGTGGCTGTTGGAAAGGTCATTAAGTTGTGCAAGTATTTGGTCATAAACCACAGGATTACATAAATTAATGATGTTAGATCAAAAGTGAAGGGATCAGCAAAGCCATTAGGATTCATCCTCTGGGTGCAATTGGTATCTGCACCAGTTTCCTCACAATCCATCCAATAGTAGTGAAAACATTTCCCAAAATATCAAAAATGTGACTCATGGTGGCACTAGAGAGGAAAGTCAAAGGGACCTTACGTCTGTACCATCGATCCTCTTGTAACCATGAATGTCTACACAAATTTTCATGGCAATTTATCTAGTAATTGTAAAACACAAGAGTTGTGGACCTACAGACAGGTTTGATGCAGTTTTTATATAACCTGCTCTGGTCACAGCTTTGATAGGTTAAACTGTGGTATAGTTAGAGTTCTATTCACACACATACACACAGGGGAGCATAAAGCAACTGTCCCACTCAGTATATTAATCACACAGTGAGCCCACTTCTAGTGAGGGGGATGAGGGCACCCAGTCAGCTAACAGTCAGAGCTGAGTGGATAACACAAAACTATGAATATCACCTGTACAAAAATGCATCCACATTTGTGGACAGTTAATTTAAGTCCATTTTTGGTTAGATTATTACAAAGCACTCTAAACCAGGTGTGGGCAGTATCAGTAGATCCATTGCAATATTTTGCATTTCATAAAGTGTTTGATTGCCTACACCCTCTGTCCAAGATGGCTGAATGTGTGAACCATGCCAAAAATGCTTCAGGCACATCTGTGAAAGCTAGGAGATATATATTGTATTAATTCAAAGATGTTTTAAGTGTAATAACATTCTTAAACAGCCAAACAAATATATGACTAGAATAACACATTAATGATCATTTCAACTATCAATTCTGACTTTACACATGCCTACAAAAACAAATGGTATCGTATATAGATTCAACATAAAAAACAAAGACATGATATTCCTTATTGTGAGCTGTGGCTTCAAACCCCTTTTTACTCCTTTGTTGCATGGCATCCATGTGTGGACAAATAAATAAATAAAACAGAACTCTGTAAACAACAACAACAACAACAAAAACTAAAATAGATTTAATTTTTAGCACAAATTTAAAAGTAAGAACAATCTTAATATATTTTTTCATAATTCAAGCATGAAAGTAGTAGTTATGCACGGTGTGTGGCTGAACTGGGGGATCCGCATTTCAAATCCTACAATTCTCAGTCTAAGGTTTTCTCAGATTAAGGACAACATTTTATAAAATGCATTGCAAAGTAATGTTCTAATGTTTAACCACATGGTTAAAGGTTGTTGGGGTGGTGTGACGGGTGGGGGTTGGGGCTCTGCCATTTACATGACTATTTCATTTGAGAACCCTTATTTTGTTTGTCCTCTAGTTATTTCTGAGATTTCTTCATTTAGCTTGTTTGAAATTGATATATTTTTGCTTTACATGTAAAAGACAGTAGCCTAGATAGATGTAAATAATAATAGATAATAATGAAAATAGTAATCTCCTTATAACATCATGGTAGGAAAAACTATAGAAGAGCACTTCTCATTGAACTTATACTCTGTAGATACATTATTTCAATCTGAATGAAGGAATATTACGATTTAAACGGGCCTGCTACCATCATGCGGGAAGTGCACACTCGACTGTCTCCATACAAGGCCACAGAAGCACGAAGCCTCAAAACTTATACGAATTTAAACGCTCTATTTAATGTAAGATCACTATAAACTGCCCTTTCCAATGACCTTAAGCCCATAAATGAATAGGTTACAGGAACATTAGCTCCTGTTCCGTGCTCGTCGATCCCTCGGTGGGATTTTGAAGTTGCCGCTGAAGGGAGGAGGACGTGATAGGCTGAGGGGCTGAGGAAAGGAAAGAAAGGAGCTGCTCAGTCAGTACAGCAGTGCCGCTGGAGAGCTCTCGTCGACCGTAGGCTCCAGCCGAAAAAAAAGACGCGACACCTAACGTTTTATTTTCCATTTTATTTATTAATTTCTCATCGTGTCTTCACCTCAAACAAGATGTAACTCTTGTTGACTCCACCTCAAGTATATTCATGCATTTGAAAAGAGCCGGGAGTGAGTGCGCAGAGACGAGAAGCCGAGCTGTTCTGGCGAATGGAAGTTATTGTTGTGCATTTGTTTTGACTATGTTATCCCCGAGTGAGTTGGGGTTCAGTCCGTCTCTGTCCGTCGTCGACCCTTGAATTTTTGGGATTTATATCCGAAGGGTTTAAGGGAAACACCGAAGGAGGATTGTGCGAAGCCAGAGGTGGTTTTCCTACAGAGCCGGGGATTTAAATCGTCATTTGGTGGTGGCTCCGGGAGAGGCGAGAGTCAAAGAAAGAAATTCATGTGGCCATTCTCTTTATAGCCAAACATTTTTTGGGGATTGCATAATGAGCAAGGAAAGACCTAAGAGGAATATCATTCAGAAGAAATATGTAAGTATAATCATATCTTTGCTTAAAATGCTAAGAAATGCAGTCGCTCTATTCAAGTTTGCGGTGCTCGTCTCGATGAAAATGCATAAACTTTCATCGCAGACGGTGAAGATTACCGTCAGGCAGCTTGTGTCTTATTTAGGTCAGATATCATTGAAAAGGTGACGGCTATAAGTTACCTCAGCGTGTTAACAGTTACATGTTTTATATTTAAAGAGACAGCAATGTTTATTCAATGTCTGTGTTGCAGCGTTTCTTCGACACCAGACATGTTTTAGGCTATTTGAATACGGCTGCTTTGGTGGATTGCTTCGCTCGTTTTAACTCGTTTAAACGCGTTGCTGTGGGGATGAATAGTGTACCTGCCTATGTGATAAGGTTACAAAATGTTTTAAATTAAAGGACTTGACAAACTGTTTCCAGAAAAGGCTTTTGTTCGCGCCCCATTTCTTCCTATTCAGAGCCGTGAAGACGAGCCTGTCGGCCATGGCTCCAGTATTTCGGGTTCCATTTCGTCCCATGCTGAGCATTTTATCACCGCTTTAAACTGAGCTCTTACCTTGAGAATATATATGTAAAGCCATTGTTATGGCCAGTGTTTCTATAGAGTTCATGTTCAAGATAACGCTGCGTCTGCTGGTGTTGTGTATTTGTTGCTGTGGGGCTGGCAAACCGACATGTTTCGCGGACTGTTGTGGCTCTTTAATTCTCTCCATGAAGAGTGAGGCAGAGCTGCAGGAAAGGGGGTCACGAAATTCAGCATATTCGTTCAATTTCCACCATTTGAAACGGCATGGTTTTTATTATTACTCGGTTGTCGTTGCAATTAGTCGTCCTATGTGTTTTAAGTCCGCCAGGGTTCCAGTAATTCTGCAGATCTCCGTGTGACCTCTGTGAGCCAGCAGATATTGCAGCAGCCCGCTGAGTGATACCTCCGTTTTCTGCAATGCTACGGAGAATTAGCTTCCAAGCCTTTTGGGTCGCGTCCTCGGACCGAGCACACGTAAACAGCACATTACATGGTCGGTGTGACTGAGCACAGTTTCTGAATGATCCAGGCTTTTAAAGCGGCTGTGTGCAGTCGCATTGCAGAGGCTCATGTATGAAGCGATACCAAGAAGCAACCATTTTCTTTCTGCAAGTAACACTGGTGAATTTATGGCGAAGGGGGCTGTGAAATATAAGAGTTCAGTCTCAACAGGGTTTAAATTATAATCTCAGGTCAGGCTTTGATCTGCTGGACGCATATTTGTCTTCCTTCTTGAACGAAACAAGGACTTTTAATCTTGTGAAGTGTGAATGGCTCAGCACATGGTCTGCTAAGTTGCACATCATTTGTCATGAAGACTGTGCGTTGGGCGCAAAAGTTTGTTGCGCTTCTTTGATGGATGTATACATTGTTGCTGTTAATGATCGCAACTAGCTCCGAGGAGCACATTGAGTGTAAATGCAGGAGGATACATCATAACCCCGCTGAAGCTGAAATAAGCAGAGCTCACCGCCCCCCGCCCCCATCCAAACAACATGTGGTGTCTCTCTAAATAAAGTCTGTTTCCTCCCGCAGATCGTTTTGTGACCGAGCAAATCAAAAACAGAACCATTTACCGTATTAATCTTAGTGCTCAAAGGAAATGTCGCAAAAGGGAGCAACAGGTTTGTAGGAGCAGGCGAACAATCAGAATACAAAGAGGTTCGAGTCCCTTCAGAAGATTTCCTCTTCAGATTTCTCTCAACATCTCTTCTGAATGAAATACACAGAATTTGTAAGCAGTTAAAGTACAGAAAAGTGTCCATGTGGTTTCTACCTCGTAACAATCGTAAATTTCCTCAGCAAATAAATATCACAATTAGAAACATCCATTCCAGAAGAGCATGTCATTGGGCTTTCGATCCACCCCTATTGGTACACCCTCTCTGGCCCAGTTCCTTGAATAAAAATATAATGGAGAGAAGTCCCCAGAGCAAAAAATAAAGCAACTTGAAATACATCTGTGTTTCCTCATACATTTGTCAGCTTTCAACACAGCATGGTTGCCAGTAACATAATGTGCTGAAATGTATTGGCATCAACATTTATTTGTTGGAAAGCAACACAAATGTATCATCCCAAAGAAGACAGCTGTTTTAAAATGACTGAAAAAGTAAATCTAATATAGAAGACTGAGGCACAGTGAACAACATCCCATAGTGTCCTTTGCCGTAGTTGGTGTCAGCTTTTTAAATCCATGACAGTCATTTTTCTCTATGACTAGGTTACAGTTGTAGCAATTCCAGTAATGTCACATACTGCATGTTGATGAAACTGAATTGAATGTTGAAAGTTTTCGAGCCCGTCAGGTTGTTTGTAGTTTTCCTCTGAACTGAGGAAACAGGATGTACCATCAAAATAATGAGTAACTGAAACAAAAGTCCCAGTTTAAAATTGAGCCAGACAGTGGTGGTCAACAGTGTCACAGTCTAAAATTGGAAGGGCTTTTTTTTTAAATCTGGTCTTCTAATTAGAACTGGAGCCAGAGCATTAGGGCTGTGGAAATATTGTGTGTCTGACTATAGGATGCACGTTTCGGGCCTGTGTGTGAGTGTGCATGTGTGTCACATCTGTCATGTATTTTGGACAGCTGCAGTTGATGTATAAAGTCTGGCCTGGACCAAATCAGTCGCACGGCTTAACCATTTCCCCTGAAACATGAGTACGAGTTGTTACCCCTCCACCCTCACCTTCTGCACCCAACAAACAGCCACTATCTGTGAGTGATATTAAAATTCATCAGTCATTAAATGATTGAAAAAAGGTGGATGAGTCTTTAATAAAACAAACAAGGCAAGGCATTTACCATTTTCCTCTATGATTGATGGATGTCAGTGAGCAGAATCAAAAGCAAGCCAAACTGCTCTGTCAGTTTTTTTTTTTTTTCTTCAAAGATGCATTGTCATTATCATCAGGTTGAGCGATGCTGCAGGAGCAAGTGGGCACACTGTCTGTCTCTGCTTCCATTCAAATGATGAAAATGCATTTTTGTGGGCTTATTTTATTACTTTGTTGGTGCCTTTCAAGTGAGAGGTTGAGGGCTAGGTGCTGTGTAATGGCTAAGGTAACGTGTGGCAGCGTTGTTTTGTGTAACGAAACATGACACGCACTGTGTGTGTGTGTGTGTTTGTGAATGCGTGTAAGCGAGAATAGCAGGAGAGCACAGCAGAGTGCAGTTCAGTGCAGCCAGGGCCATTTTGTGCAGTCTGCTCTTCCTGTAGGCCCCAGCTGGGGCTAGGTCTCTGATTCAAAGATTGTGTGTATGTGCATGCATGGTGTGTGTGGGACAAGCACAGCTGCTGCAGGGGCCTTTACAAATGTAAAGAGGCTGTCAGTGTTTGTTTCATCAGGCGCACAACTGATGAGGGCCAAGTTGAAAATCCATTGCACTGTGAGTGTGTGCGTTGAGCGTGCACAAAAAGAGGAAACAAAAATAGAGAGTGGGGGCAGAACGGGAGTGCAAAGGCACCCACTCTCCCCCTCCTCTTCTCCTTTTCCTCTCTTTATCTCTCTCTCTCCCTGTCTGTCTTTCTCGCTCCCTTGTTCTTGGGCCATCCAAATGAAATGTGGGCCTCATGTAGGACCATGAAGAGACGGTCACAGGGTTGTTTTTTTTTTTCCCCACTGTGCTTCAGCCTCAATGCGCTTCATTTAACCTTATGTTTCAATGCAAATTCTTCTTTCATCAGCTCCCTTCTCCTCACGCGTGCAACATGGCAGGGTTCACTTTACAACCTCCTCGTCACTTTGGCAAAGCAACGTGTATTGTGGAGAAGGCAGTGCTTTACTGCCTGTTCATTTGAGTCTGCCCACTATGGTTACACCCCACATGGCACCTGTAAAAGACACTATCATAAAGTGCTCTGCATATGTGCTTCATCATTTTATCAGCGTCACGTTACACAAATGAATGACTGTCCTTACTGAGTTTTCAGGTTTGAAGCCAGGAGGATGTAGCATGAACAGCCTTAAAGAAAAGGCAACAGAGGGCAGTACCTTTTAATGTGAAAGTAATATCACCCTGCTTTATAGCTGTTTACTTTTTTCCCACCACTGGGGGTAAAAATTTATATCAGGGCTACTTTGATTATGTTGCCAGTCTGCTTCAGTATGGCATAAAAGTAAATGCCAAGAACATAAAAAGTCCTGATTAAGATTGCTAGCTATTTATTTCTATACAATGGAAAACAATCTTAAACAAACCAGGAGTGTGTGTGTGTGTGTGTGTGTGTGTGTGTGTGTGTGTCTCTCACTCATACTGTGCAGGCTTGTATAAAGCATACGAGTGCTATATACCCAGCCAAGAGCTAGACTTTCTCACGCAAAAGTCTCAGCCTCATGTCCCTTTGGTCTCATCTCTCTGCTGAATTGACAAGCACTGCCAGAAAAGGGAGTAGAGTTGGCTAGCCCAGCCTCTTTATATTCAGCCTTATTTCTATATGTATAAATTAGGTTTGTGTTGAAATGAGGAAAAGAGATTGTGTTCTTTTTTTTTTCTTAAACATTCTGCTTTGCCAGTAGAGTTTACTGCGTCATTACAGGGACTGTGTGAGGTGCCGTCTTCAATTTGGAGAGGATGTTCAGCAGCCAAATGCATCAGCTCTTTACTCTGACATAAACAGTGTCTCTCTCCTTATTTCACCCTTTTTACCGGCTCTGCCTCTCTCTTCTTCTCTTACATCTGTTGTCTACAGTATTATGTCACACACACACACACACCACATAAATTCCTATTATGCAATATGACCTTTTTTCAGCTGAGTACAATCTCTGGACCTTTGCTGGCACCAGCACACACTCTCACACGCACAGGCAAAGGTCCTTACGTGTCAGTCAGCAGGGGAGAGAAACCGGTTTTAAGGCCAGCCTTGTGAGGTGTCTTGTGGTATCAGCAGCGTAGGTTTACAGGCGTAATGACATAAAACTGGGCGTGACTGTCTTTGTTATCTGCTGTGTGTGCGTAGGCTTGTGT